CTTGATAGAAACATGAAAGATCTATTACTATAGTAACAAAAAACTGGTCACATAGACAGCTAGTTCTCTAATTCACAGAATTATAAGAAGGGCAAAAAGGTACAGTGCAATCAGTGCAATTGCAAAATTCTTATGGGAAACTTCAATAAAAGTAGTTTTAACTATCCTGTGGAGTTGATTTCTTGGTCTGGCATACCTAATGGGCTGACATGGTGGCTTAGAAAATGGCCAATTTGCCTGTCTGCCACTGCAACAGTCTGCCATTGCTCCGTACTTTCTGAAGAACTTGGAACAATTTTACCTAGAAACCGTGCAGCTGAAAAACACCATTGCTGAAAAAACCTGCAAGGAATACCTGCTTGGGGAAGTGGGGGAATGACCGTGGGAATCTCCTTCCCAGCTCCTTTTACCTATCAGTTCCCTCATCAGCAGAGCAGGAAAACCCCAATCCTGTCTGAGGGCAGTAAGTTTGTGGTCCTGTTTTTTTTTTAGGCATGGCAAGGGGAATGTTGTAGAAGAAGCAGTTTCCCCAACCATCATGTTATTTTCCTATCTCAAAGATAGGAAGAAAATACATCACAGGAAGAGGCCCACATCATAGATAAGACTGTGGGTAAATCTTTGGGTAAATTCTCTCTGATGCAGGAAATGCTACACATGACATTGTATAATAGATGTGTGACTCTTTCCCCATACCTCCTATGAGGAGGTTTCCTCCTATCCCTGAGCTTGGGGAAAAAAGCATGTTGATTGGGAAACTGCTTCCTCTACCACATTTCTCTTGCCATGCCTTGAAAAAGGACAAGTAGCAAACCTGATAACCTTCATGGTACTAGACGCCCAATTCTTTTGACCAGGAGGATCAGTTTATATTTATCTCTTATTTGGTTAATAGACAGATCTGGCATCAGACAGTTTCCTTCTGACCATGTGAGAATTAACTTTCACAAATACAGTAGATCACAAGTGTCAAACTCGCAGCATCACATTGCCATCAGGTGACGTTTCATGATGTTTTGCCCCTTCGTGGAGCTGGGGTGGGCGTGGCCTGTGCGTGACACATCCTGCCCACGGGCTGCCAGTTTGACATCCCTGCAGTAGATGCATAGAAGATGTAACACTTTGCAGATCTGCAGAAGCAACTATGGTCTGAGTAGCTCTGCCGAACAACTGACTTAATTATTTGAAGGTAAAATCCGAATTCAGATTCTGCCCATAGCAATCAAGGTTCAATGGGGGGAAAAATAGAGTTTTTGGATTTCAAGAGAGGTTATCATGGCAGCAAAACATGCACAACTGTAAATATATTGGTTCTAATTTGGCTTCAGCACATCGCAGCACTGGTATTTCAGTAATTAAAATATATCTTTTTTTTTAAACAGGAAACCATAAATTGTTCCTCTACGCATCTCTTCTCAATTTGATCCACAATTTCTATAGAATATATAATGTGTACCCATATATATTCATTATATATATATAATGAAATCAGATACACTTGCATTACAAGTAACATGGTAGCACTTCTATGGAAAACTATGCAACTTATTTAACTTTGGAAACATTACAAGATTCAAAAACTGGCACAATTCATATGCCAGGAAAAAATGCTTTGGGAAAAACATATTTTGGTTCTAACCCAAGGCAATTGTCCATGCAGTTTTTTTATGGAATATTGGCATAATCATCCAGCAAACAGACTGTAGGAAAAGTTGACTTCATGTCCATGTTAACTAAACTCTTGGTTATATTAGAAATAAAATGAATAGAGATTTCCTCATTGGAACATACAAAGTTTATATTTTATGAAAGCATCTGCAGACCTGAAATAATCTATTCAAAAAACTTAAAGATAGGGACAGAAAATAGAAATTACCAGTAAATTAGATAAAGAGAAATATCTAAAAGACAAGAATCGGTTTATATATCCTTATCTAATTTACAGCTGTAATTTGACAGGTTTTAAAATTTTATAATTCTCTTTGTTGATTTAGATGAGACTGCTCTATATTTAAACATAAAAACAAAAACACTGGAAAATACCTGACTACTTTAGTAATCAACATTTCTGAGATGGACTGATATAGCAAACTTTAAGGAGAAAAAAAATAGAAGTGATGATTCTACTTTCTCCAAAACAGTTCGAATCAATGTAAAAGGGAAGCTGTTATTTAATTTCTTAAGATTAGGAACTGTATCACCATCTTGTGGAAGGAGGAGAAAACTACATTGTCCTTAAATCTTTCCTGAAGTCTTTACAGGAAGTCTTTAAAAAAAAATCTCTTTATTGAAGGAGGAAAACATCATCAGCTCATTCTCCTTCAGTAATTTCATGAGTAAACACTGACAGAATTCACTACCTCCAGATTGCAAGTTCAATTACACAAAATTTCATAGTGCTTAGTATTAAATTACTACTTACACCATGATTATGCTATTTGTGCTAAAATTACTCCAGAAATTATATTCTTCTAATCTTTTCCCCCTCAAGTATAATAAGATCATTTTCATGTACACTCACATTTTCATACTTTGTCTTTAATGCTGTATTATATGAAAATCTGCTAAAAATCATATAAATTTATATGTCCTTGCATTCATCCAACCCCCCCCCCCTCATAATTCCCATGCATTTCTGTGCCTACTGTAATTACAGTTTCCCCATATTTATTCCAGAATAAACAGACTACTATGCTACATATTAAACTAGTGGCAGGAGATGAAAAGAGAGTACTAGGCCTATTCCTCTTCCTTTGGATTTATATGAACATGTGTAACTGAGGATGAGGGAATGGAAACAAAGAAATCACAAGAAAAGAGGATTGTCATTTCCCACAAGAGTCAGAAAAGTGAAAAGGAAGGTGTCTGGGATGAGCAAAAGAATAAGCAACTTGTTTTCCACCATGCCTCTTCTGATCCAGGGAGTAGAGTCAGGGGAGCTGGAGTGAGTGGGAAGGTGGTGAGGGTAGTGGCTCTATTATCATAAGGTGGATCAGGGTGTATGAAGGGATTGTGAATATAGCTAGTAGGTGTGCTTACTGTGCTGCATTATACTGTAGTTCGATCTCAAGAGGGAGTCACTTGATGGGACCTTTGTTAACTGAGAAAGGACAATAGGCTAATTGAGAAAGATGGAAATGGAGAAGATAATGATAATGAGAGATAGCTCATATATTGAGGGAAGGAAGAGTCCAACTTTCCAGAAGAAAAAAATATTGGAAATTTTATTTATTTATTTGTTGAAATTTATTAGCCATCCAACTCCAGTGAACTCTGGAATTTGCTGCTGAAGTCTGCTTTAGGCTTCTCAGCCTCAACTCATAAGCCAATTATTCAGCTTGCTGATCATCATGGTCTCTAGCTGATGTTTTGAAAGCAGGTCTGTTGGTAATAAATCTAACCTTCATATACTGATGGATGAGAAAGCATATCGTTTGTACCTACTGCATTCTGGTTTCAGATAGGGGCCTAGGATGGAAACTGTATTGGTTATTTGCTCATTGGTAATGACCTAGGATGAGACTCAGGTGAAGGGAGGGAGCTCGTCTCCTACAGAGCACACACAACCACTAAGATGATAATGGTTCCCATTCTCATGGCCTTCTGGAAGCTGGTAAAACCTGGTTCTTCTAGAACACTTTTTTGGATTGATTCTGGTTTCACCAGAGCCAACATTAGTATAATGTTCTAAAGCACTTTTTTACATTTAAATAATTTTGTATTATTTATCACTATTCTATTACTATCGCTAAACTGCCTAAATTTAAAGAGTGACGCAGGGAGAAATCTCATAAAGAAATAATTCTGTCTCCTATTTTATAATTTTCTTTTAGAGGTTTTATGGCCTTTAACTCTCTTGGCCTTTTTTTCTAAAAGAAGGACTGTGAGGTAGAGCATATCAAGCCCCACAGACGCCTGGAAATATCAAGAAGGAGAAGGTCTTAAATATACAGGTTCAGTGGAGAAGCTGTAAACCGTCACTTTTTTTCTTGGTGTTGGGAAAAATCTGTTCACTTGTAACACTGCTTTTTTTTGTTTCTTCATCAGATTTCCTCAGAAATCTTCTAAACTTTAATAATCCATTTCCTAAACTGAGTTTCTTCAAGATTGAGGGTTGTCTTTGATTATCCTCAGCTCTGTTTAGCAACCGTTTGGGATTAATACCTTCTTTGTTTGCTGGTCTGGAGTTCCCCCTTGCCACTGTTTATCCTCTCTTCCACTGTCATGACACATTATTCTATTGTCCCCTAACTGCCCTATATAAAAGGAGAGGGGATTGTGTTAGAATGTGGTATTTCGTTCTGGCCTGGCTGGATTTTCTACAAAAGTTGAAACTTGGATTCAACGATAGCCCACAGTGTTTCTTGTGCAGCATAGCTAATCAGCTACTCTGTTCCTCTTCCACCAAGAGGAAAGATTGATAACATCTTGCCATGGTTTCCAGATTGTGTTTTCAGGTACTATAGTGGCACAGTAGTATTCAAAAGTACTGAGGCCTCACCTTCTAAAAAGAAAAAAGACAAGAGAAAAGGGAGGAAAGTATAGAAGAAAGTATAGAAGAATAAAATGGTGTTTTGTTTTAAGAAACTGAACAACTGGGTTTTTGAACTTCCAGATGAATACAACTGTATGCATTCCATGCAGGGCCAATGGCACCGCTCCTGGCAAGACCCATTCAAGATTGACCCTTCTCTACTAGTTCCAGGAAGTGGAATTATCTCAAAGTAGAACATGCCCTCCAGGGAATAAATAACTCATTTTCTTTAATCAAAATTGGGATAATTATGACTGGTATATCACACTTCTTTCCCTCTTTTAAAAAGGGTAGAGACTTTTCAAAAGTCCTGGATATAATTGTTAGATTGTTTGTGAAGGAAAGTACAATGTTATATGAAAGAGCTAGTATCAGAAAAAAAAACCTAAATGGCTTTAAACCAGGTTTCAGAACACATAAACTAGCAACCAGTAGAAAGCAAAAGGAATGAAATTTAAAATCTTACCACAGGAGGTTGACTTTTTCTCCACCCTCAAGACATTTTTGGTTTGTCTGCGTAGGTTGTCATCAGTATTTTCTACCAAATTGGCAAGATCATCAATGATTTCTAGGAAGATGGACATGATTGAATATTAATATCTAAGCTTTCTATTATTGCTTATAAACAAACAGAATTATATCAAGAGAAAGATTTCTGTAACTCTGATTTTGCACTGCAGTCTTCTAAAGTCAGTAAAGTAGAGGGTCATTTAAGATATAGTATCATCTATGCTGAAGTCATTAAAAGAACCACATGCATAAGTAGTATAATGAATTATTGAGCCAAACATATTTTGGCATTGGAATATTTTGGCATTGGCTTCACTCTGAACCCAAGTTTTCTTGGTAAGAAAAAAATATTTAAAAGTTTTGTTTTGGGGTGTGGTGTTATTGTTGTTGTTCATTTTGGCCTTTCTCCTGCATGACAACTTTACATGGTATGAAAGAAAAGAAGGTTCTTCAGTGCCCATCTCTCATATCACACTGGATTTGGCTGTTACAAATAAAGCAGACTACTTTTTTTTTAGGATCCTGTAAAGTAGTTGATAACATTTCATAAGAACTTACAATTAAAATTAATACAACAGAGGGGAAAAAAGGTTTAGGGTTTAAGTTAATGTTGTAATTTTGCTGAAATAAAAATACTCTTAAGGGTATTAAGAGGGTATTCTTTAAATTAAAGAAGCTTTTGACTATTTTAACATATCACACCAACTCATCTTAATTCCCATTATTTCCCTCATCTATCTGAAGTCAGGGCAGGTATGGCCTCAAGAGTGTTCAAGGGAGAATCTTTGCTATTCCCTTCACACAGGTATATTTTTTTCCTCACTGTAAAATGAAGATGCATATATGATAATTACATAGCAAGTATGGCAACAATATGATAATTTAAAAATCCCCAGGTCTCCAATTCTAAATTCAGCTCTTAGAATATGTGATCTTACCATCTCTGACATGAATTGGCACTTGTACAAGCAGGTCATTATTTTACATCTGAATACATTTTCATGACTTTGGGGGAGTGCTTCAACCAACATACTTATTTCAACCTTAGTATTGTTAATAATAATCACATGTACTTTCTGTAATGGAGGAGAATGGAGGAGGATAATAATACCTACATTTCAGAGTATTTTAAGAATAATGAGTTTCATGTGAAATGCTCTAAATTTCTGATAAGTGCCACATAAATCTAATAACAGCCACATTTTTTGTCCACATACTTCACCTCCTTAAGTGCTTTATTTTCCAAAAATTCTCTCCTGCTTCAAGGTAGAAGTTCTTTTGCAGATTGTTACAGAACTCAATGCACTCAACACAAAGCACTTTGAAGTGACAAGCATGTTATTTATGGGCAACTCTAAGTTAAAGGAAGAGACAGGAGTGCAGATTCTATTTTGATTCATTCATGGTTGAGAACCTCTGAGTTTTCCAAACTGAGTAAATTTGGAAGGTCCTAATCTTTATGAGTCCAAACTCTGCAGCTAATGTGAAACACCAGTCAAGACATTGGGACACTTCAAAATGTACATCAAGAAAAGAAACATACTTTCTTGCCATCGCTCTTCCTAATAAATGAATTCAGTAGGAAAGAATTTGGCACAGTGGGTGAAGAGAAATTCAGGGCAGTTGGGCCAAGTGTGCGAAGAGAAGAGAAAGCGGTCCAACATATGAAAAACAACATTCTCATTTTGTAGCAAGTGAAGTGCTCCTCCTCTCCTCTCACCAGGAGAGGCAAGAGGATTTATTCAGCTTGCATTTTTTTTGCCACACCTTATTTTGAATTAGAATACCCAGGTGTGCCCTCTTCTTTCAAACCACACAGGGAGAAGTCCTGAGAGCAGTGAAGAGAAAAGAGGCTTCAGTTGTGCAACTCTTCTCACAGGCCATGTTGTGCTTGCTATTTTTGGACTTGTTTAAAAGATATTAAAATTTGGCAAGCATAATGAAGAATAGGCCCTACTGCTCTTCTTGCCTTTAGACAAACTGCATTTACAAAGCATAAAGCTTTGAGAAAAGAAATGTGAAAGCAAGCTGGTTTCAGTCAAATGCCTGCTGTGAGCTGCCTCCTATAGTGGCTCTCTACCTGTGGACTTCTAACACCTCACCACAGGAGACAGCTGACAATTAATATGCCCATTGGTGAACCGAGATATTTGGGTAGATTTTGATGTTCTCCTCTGCCAAGAGCAAGACTAAGTAGTTTGAGATTATTTTATGTTTTTAGTTATCTTAAGAAAGGCATTGTTCTGGCATTTGACAGCACCAGAGATCTCTCTTCCTTATCTGCCCTCAAAAGCTGAAGGGTTTTTTAAAGTGAAACTGGGCTTCAAAGAAAGATATTTTAAATCGATAGTGGTATACACATATTTAAAAACACTTAACTAGAAAGACTATTTTATTCATCTTACAGTGCGGTTTTTTTTTTGTAAACTGCCCCAATCGTTAAAATTAATGTACATGACCAATGTACAAAGTTGTTAACAATAGTTAAAACCACAACATAAAAAGAGTATTCAAAGTCTTCATCATCGACCAAGAGTCCACTGAATAAGTTTAAGTGCTTTGCAAAATGACCAAATTATCAGTATTGTATATACTAGTGGTATACCAAATACACATTTTGGTAGTGTGTTTCAATATGTGGAGACTGCTACCAAGGACTGCTTCTAGGTCCACAACACCTTTTGTAACCTAGGGTTTGTAACCTTCTGCAAGCCTTTTCTTGTTGCCTAGTCCAGATAGGCAGAAGGAGATCTAATAAGACAAACTCTAAGATAGCTTTACAGGTTCTGATCACTTTCAAAATTATGTTGCATAACTGAAACTCTATGTAATGTTGTTATGCTACAGGGTGTTTGCTACCTCACTTCCAGCAATTGCTGCAGTATGCTTCACATAGAAGTGTGTGCATGTTCTGTCTCCCCTTCATGGCTCTTAACAAACGGCAAGACGAATAAACTTAAAAGGAACTTTATCAGTTCTCAGTTCAAACTGGCTTCGAGACCAAAAATAACATAAATACAGTCTCTGACTAGATAACGGAATGAAAAACAAAAGAACTCTTACAAGCAATGCACTTCTCCAAGTGTAGCCTTGAATCAGGGTTACAGGAAACACCAAAGCACTTATCCAAGTGTATCAAGCAATGTTGTACGCACGAAGGAACGTTGACTCCTGTGACTGGGGCGTGGCAGCATCCGTCCTTTTATCTCCAAACCTGCCCCTAACAAGCCCCAGCTGCATAATGAATCTTGTATCCCAAAAAGACTCACAGAAGATATCTGCTGAGTCACAACACCCATGTGTGTCTCTATTCACCAGCAGAGCTGCTTTTAGGTAAAGCTGGGTAGGTAATGGCCTAAAGTGCCAAACTTTAGGAATGCCAATGCCACTTCTACTTAACAATTTTCAATCAACTATAAATGGCAACTCTGTTCAGGCATAGTGGTGGTGGACCAAGCTTTAATTGCCAAGCTTCATTTAATTTTAATTTATTTTTAAATTAATCAATGTAAAAATGTAAAAGTTTACATTAGTGGAAAGTGGAATCATCAGTCAATGTGTCCTACAGGCGCCATATTTTCTTCCACTGGCCCTGACCTACCAGTAGATTATCACACATCCAAGAAACTATGCACAACTGCATTATTTTGTTCTTGTATGGGCTTCAGCCTGATTTTGTCTCGGTCAAACCCACATTTTTCTCTAACTAGAGCTGGCCTCTTTTCATTTAGAATTAGCTGTTGTTAAAGGGGAGAAAGAGGATCTCATAATCCACAGATATTAACTGGAGCCTTTGCTCTTGAGCACACAGAGGGATTTTCTTTTCCAGCTGCTTATTTTGTTTTATTCAAACAAAGCAGCCAAGCATTAATTTTAGTTGTATTTAATTGAATAATTTCCCAGAAGAATAGTTTAGAAGAATTTTAGAGCAGCTTGTTTCCAAAACCCATTACTGACTGGCATATACTATAGCATCTGTGTGCCAATGAAAATAGGATGCTTTAATGTTATTGGAACTGCTTTTTTCCCCAGATGTGTTGAGAAGTCTCTGTGATATAATGCAGGCAACAGCTCTATTTACACAAAGTAGGAATTTGAGTATCCTTTCCTAATTATCTTGGATAAGATTATTCTTCTCAACTGAAAGAATCATATTATAAAGAATAGAATTACTTTCTCCTCTTCCTTTTAGTAATTTCCTTTTGATTGAAATTGTACTTCATGTGATTAATAAAACAAAGGGGTATGAAACAAGAACATCTGAATCCTGAAATGTACTTACAGAAACATTTCATGGAGCATCCCAACTATTGAAGCAAAATATTTGGCAGTTCCAGTCTAATTGTAAATGCAAAGGTTCCAGACTAGACTTATTATTAAAGTTATATTTATATATAATATTCATAATATTTCAGAAAACAAAATGATGTCATTTGGGTAGGAACAGATAATTTTAACAATTTTCATTGAAAAAAAAATCCATACTGAAAACAGTACAGTCTTCCTTTTAAGGCAAATACGTTTTGCAGATTTTCATCAAGATTGCAACAGAATAAAAATAGAGGTAAATTCCTCTCCCTCAGAATCTGAACAATAATACCCTTGAGTGAACAGGGGCTTTTTTTTTACAATGCACACGTTAAATGTGCATCAGATCTTGTTTGGTGTCTAGATGTAGCACAAAAAAAAAATTACAGTTTGTATTCTATTTCATGGGGATTAAGCAAGGAAGAGGAAGCCTGTACAACGTGGCTGCTAAAGTTCTTTTCAATTCTAAAAGCCATAAGAAGCAAGTGCATTTTTCCCTACAGAGACTAAACAGAGCATACATGTTGTCACTGCATTTGTATGTACATGAATGTATGAAAATCTAAGCAGGACGTTTATTGCTTTATATGTAAATCACATTTATAAATCTGCCCAACTCATTACTCTGGGCCATGTACAACTTCAAATAAGTTTTCTTTGAAAACTTCTGAGGTGGAATTGAAATATTGGTACATATTTAAATATTGTATTATTTGTATCTTTATTTTATAAATCCAAGTGGAGCATGTC